TTGGAGACACAACAAACAAATTCATTGCTCAAGTACTGCTATATGACACGTAGCTGTTGTTCTTCAGCCTGACCTTGCCACCTTAAAGCAAGCAAACCCAGACAGTCTGTCATCACTTACAGCAGGTGAGTGGGCAAAGGCTTTCATCTCTGGCTAGAGGAAATTAAATAGTACATGTGACCAACAGGATTGAAGCTGCTCAAGAAATGCTGACAAGATAAATTTGGACCTATTAGATAGAAAGCTATCAACTGTCCAGAATCATTCTTCACAAAGATTACAGGTACCTCTAAAGTCTTCTTTTCACTCAGGCATAACGAATAGAAAAATTTTCAACTATCTCCAAGATTTTGACATTAGTCTTTGTGTTCAGCATCGCATACATCTATTAACTGATGTTTGGAGAAGAGCTGAGCATATCTTTTGTGGGCTGGCACATTGTTTCTTTATAATAAATTAGTGTTTGCTTCTGTTTGAGTCACAATTAAAACAAGTCAGAGCATATGTGAGAGCCATCTGGAATGTTCAAGTAGGACCAAATCTTTCCAAGGCCTTATACTATGGAAGAAGTAATGGTGTAATGGTTAGCAAAAGAATGGCTTTGAGCCATGAAAACAAGCTTTGCCACTACCTCCTAGTGTGGGCACAAGCACAATGCTAAAACTCTGTAAGCACTAAGATTCCTGACTGCTCAAAAGGAGATAATAATAGAACCTGTTTTATAGAGCATTTGTGAGGAGTAAATAAGACAAAATTGTATACTGTATCTTATACAAAAGAATTGCTTTATAGAGGGCAGTTCTCATTTTATTAACACTAAGGATATAAGTAATTTTTATACAGTAGTACTACTATATACAGAGTACTACTATTTTGCTTTAGGAAAGACTATAAATCTTGGGACACCAGCTCTGTTAAAATGAGCTTAACCATTTAGACGATTACGCTAACATTCCATAATTCTCCAGCAACATGGTTAAATCATTAAGAGACCTCCAGGTTTGGGTTTGGTTTTTTTGGTTGTTGATTTTTCATAAAAAACGAACAAACAAAACAAAAAATGTTTTTTAAACAAATTGTTCTTGCAGTTCCCAAAATCAGTACTACTATTCTTGGCTTACGCCATTTCTGGATTTATGTATCTTCTTTTAAAAGAAATATTTCTTCATATTTTTAACTAAAAAATAATAAACAAGGGGGGGCAGCAGGTGTTGTGGTGGTTAAGGCACTGGACTCCCACATGACTGACCACAGTCCAAATACCAGACCTGGCAGCTCGAAAATCATGCTGGCTATGTGTGTGTGTGTGTGTGTGTGTGTGTGTGTGTGTGTGTGCCCAAAATGCCAGGAGGATAACAGATGAGATGGGACTGCTGTGCGGCCATGCACCCTCATAGGTGAGTTCTCCCTTTCCTTCTCACTGTCTCTCTCTCTCTCTCTCTCTCTCTCTGACAATCACATGCACTGTAAAATTAGCTTAGCCATGCAATGCAATCACATACACCATAAAATTAGGGTAACAAAAAACAAAAATAATAAAGATAAGAAGAAGAAGCAAAGGTATAAGACTATACTCAAAAAAATATTACCTCAATTAGCACATTGCCAAAATTTCTAATTATGTGTTTGAAATAATCCTTCAGAGAATCGTCTTCAACATCTTTTTATTTATAATAGTAACTTAGATTAGAATACCATATTCTCTGTAAGGATTTTAAAATGAGATAAGAACATGGATGGTTTAGAAAGTTATTTTTTTAACATCATTTGCTAATGTTATTATAGTAAAACAAAGCTTATATCTCATGTTGTTAGTTCAGAAATGGTACTAGATTTTCTACAAGATACATGCCACTATGTATGGTACTTCACTACCCCTTAACCAATAAGGGAGAGGGAGTAGGTTGATCAGAAACATATGAGGTGAGCTTTTTAAGAATCCCCATTTTTTTGTGTCCTGACCCCAGGAAACGAATGTGGGGAAAGAGGACGAAGGGGAAAAAAATTCTCCATGTGGAAATATAAGTGGCATAATGCCAAAGCAGACAGTTAGGAAGAAAGAATAAGTTTGCAGTTTCTTTAAACTGACTTCTGAAAGATGAAGTGGAAACTCAATTATTTTTCTATAAGAGATATTTTTGCTATAGGACACATGTGCTTACCATAGAAACAGAGACAAAAAGCAAGAAATTACCACCCATGGGGAATGGCCACACCACTATCCCTTCTTCTCCCTTCTCCTCTCAGGATCTTGGGCACACGTGCACACATGCCCGACAAGAGTTTCAAGCCTCTGGGTCCAGGACTCAAACCACAGTTGGCCACGTGGAAGTCCAGAGAAGTAACCACTATACCATCTGCTGATCCCAACTCAATTTAAAAAGATGTCAAGAATGGCCAATACATTCAGCTTTTTCAAATCAATACTCTTATTCTTATGTTAACACTAAGTTTCTGTGAGAAATTCATCACATCATTCACCAAGAAATAAATTATCATTAGAGGGTTCCAAGCCTACTGAGAGAAAAAAAAAATCAAAGTTGAGGAGGAACAAAAGAAAAAAGATACATTAGACAAGCATGCAAAATGGTTTGTTAGCAGAAAAAAAAGTAAACATTTTCATTGACTTTTATACTTGTTTTTAAAACAAAACAAAACAACAAAACCCCAAGGAGGTGGGAAAGTATATTAAATGAGAATTATATAAATTTACTGCTACTCAGGCAACAGAAAGAACAGAGCAGAAGAAGACTTAGTTCACCATGAGAGCTGAAATCATGGTAATTTCAGAGATAAGCTGATTTCAGAGATAAGGCAATGAAGATGTTCTACTGAGAATTTACCCTGGCAAACAGAAAGGGCAGGCCAGAAGACTGAGTCTGTCATGAGAGCCTCCAACCACTGAGTGTCTTGACAAGTCTAAGTGAGGGACCAGCAGTTAGCGTAATGGTTATGTCACTGGACTCTCAAGTAGTCAACCATGGTTAGCGTCCCGGACCCGGTGGCTTAAAACTCACGCCGGGCGCATGTGCGTGTGTGCCCAAGATCCTGAGAGGAGAATGGAGGAGAAGGGATTGTGGTGTGGCCATCCCCCTGCGGAGGGGGTGATTTCTCGCTTTCTGTCTCTCTCTGTCGGTCTGGCAAGCGCACGCGCCCTATAGCCAAAAAAAAAAAAAAAAAACCTCTCCACAAATCTAAGTGAAAAGTTGCCAAAATATAAATACTATTTGGGTCCTCATATTCCTCAACTCCCACTGAATCTGTGGCACAAAGGGAGTAAAACACAACCCCAAAGCGTTGCAGACCACATCCTCCTATGTACCTCTGATCGCTTAGATTGATCTTCTAGAAATTAAGAAAAAACTAATAACCCACCAGATGACTAGAAATCACCACTGGGGCACAAAAAATATGCAAAACCAAGAAAACACCTCACCCCCCCGAAGGGAAAAGAATAACTCCTCTTCATCTACAGACAGTACAATGGAACTCATGGAAACGTCTGATAAAGAATTTAGAGTATTCATAGTGACAAAACTAACAGAGATGGAAGAGAAGAGAGACAATGAACACAAGAAGAAAAAAAGCCGAGGAATTCCAGGAGGTGATGAAGTTCTTGAGAGAGCTGAAAGTGGAAATATACACCATTAAAAAGAATCAAATAAAACTGTTGGAGATAGAGGCTATAATACAGGAAGTCAAAACTTCCTTTGAAAGTATTAAAAGCAGACTAGATCATACAGAAAATCGAATTTCAGATGTAGAAGACAGGATCATTGGACTAGTAAAATCCACCACAAAGACTGAAAAAGTAGCCAAAAAATATTAGAATAATATACCAGAAATACTAGATACCATTAAATGTCCAAACATTCAGATAACTGGTATCCCAGAAGGTGAAGAGACTCATAAGGACATAGAAACTTTATTCCATGAAATCCTGGAAGAAAACTTCCCAAATATAGAGAAAAATCCAAAGATCCAGACCCAAGAAATACAAAGGACCCCAAACAGGATCAACCCAAGAAGATCTTCTCTAAGACACATTATAGCCAGAATGACCTAAACCACAGACAGAGATGAGATACTCAGACTGGCAAGAGAGAAACATCAAGTTACCTACAAAAGGATATCCCAACAGGCTAACAGTGGACCTCTCACCGGAAACAATGCAAGCAAGGAAAGAACGGGAAAATATATTCAAAGTATTGAGTGAAAAACAATGTCAACCAAGAATATTATTTCTGGCAAGATTATCCTTCATATGTTTTGACTAAAACATTACTGACCTATACTTTTTTTCCCAGTGTTAAGGAGTTTTGTCTTCTCTCGAATTGTGGACAGGTCCATGTACCTGTTATTTGAAAAGAATCCTAACCTGTTTCCTGGCTTTAAGTATTAAGCAAAGTTCTCTTAACATTCTTTGATTTTGATTTATTAAAGAAAGTTAAAACTGCCCTTCTTGACATTAAATTAGTGACCACAGTAAGCTATATAGCCTCAGCTATGTGCTATTGTATAGTCATTCTATCCACAAAGTTACATGCCTAAAGTCAACTTTTGTTCACAGATATGTATATATCATCTGAACTCACTACTGAAAGTATTTAGATTAATTAAGGTATTTTGTGAATCAATACAATGTGGGAAAGAATAAGGAATGGAAAGCAACTGCAGATACCAAAGACAGGGAGAGAGGAGGATGGGAAATTGCAGAGGGAGAAAAATATATATATATATATATGAAACAAGAAATGGAAAATTATTTGCTAATGATAACATGTATCATTAAGCCACTTTACAGTGTATTCTTGCTGGAAAATCACATTTGGTATGCTATGGTGAAGTTCAATAAAAGTATGTAAAATAAATAAATTAATAAAAATTTAAAGAAAAATCAATGATAACAATAAAGAAAACATAAGAAAAAATTAATTTACTGCTACTTATTATTAAGAGAACAAACATTTTACATGTGAAATTTTTTTTAATGAACTTACTTGCTTTTCCCTTTGTATACTGTAGCATAAGATCCTTCCCCTAGTTTTTCCAGTTTTTCATATGAGTCAGCTTTTCCAAATTTGGGGCTTGTCGGCTAAAAATGAAGCAGAGGGAAAACAAAACAGATTGTATCAAATTAATTAACAATCAATGTCCCGATTTTGCTGAGAGTGTATAGATTTAATATCCCTTTTAAAATAACCTTTATTTTTCTGACACAAGAATATTTATTTTATGAACAACATAATAAACAGGACATAAAACTCAGAATATGCAAATGAATACAATGTAGAAGTAAATTTTTCCATAATCTAACTATGGTTAACATTTTGGTATCGCTTCAAATGATATTTGTATGTTAATGATAGCTTTTTTACATAAATGGAATGACACTACACATACTGTTTTATAACCTGCTTTGGTTTTAACCAAATATATTATGAACATTTTCCATGTTGTTATGTAATTTTCTAAATTAGGCACTGGCAAAGTGTAGCCTGTTGGTCAAATCTAGCCCTCCAAGTACACCTCATGAGCTTAGAATAGTGTTCACCTTTTTTTTATTTATTGAGGAAAAGAAAATTAAAATAATAAAATTTTCCATGTGAAAATTATATGAACATAAAAGTTTCTGTCCAGAAAGTTTTATTAGAACAAAGTCATGTGCGTTCATTTATATATTGTCTTTGGCTTTTCAACTACAATAGAGCTGTAGTTACACTAGAGGTTGTATGCCTGAAAAGCTAAAAACATACAAGTGAAAATCCAAGACAGATATAAAAAAATTAATTTATGCAAATTTGCTTTAAAAATCATAATCATGTGAGATTTATTTCATGAAGTCAAGAATAACTCAATCCCAAGAAATTTACTAATATATTTCAATACATGCAGAAAAATATTCAATATATATATAGTAATTACAATAAATTCTGAAAAATAATGTTTATAACTCAGTACATATTGAAATAAAAAGAAAAATTAAAATTATATAATCTAGAGATAAAGACTCCTAATTTAATAAAGATTATTTTATTGAAACCTATAAAAACCTTGGAGGCCAGCTCCATAGCACAGTGGTTAAGATCTATGCAGAGGAAGCCAGACTTCACATGGCCAAATGAGGTTCTCAGTCCAGCCTCACCAGCAACATGCAGGGCGTGAGCACGCATACCCAAGATCCTAGTGGGGTGGACAATTAGAGGATGAAGGATTGCAGTTGTGACCAGACCTAGATACATAGTGTTCTCCATTTCTCTCTCTGTCTCTCTCACCGTATGCATGCACACACTCTATCACAAATAAAGAAAAACATTTTCTGGGGGGACCAGCAGTTAGCATAATGTCGCTGGACTCCCATGTAGTCAACCACAGTTCGAGTCCCAGACCCGGTGGCTTGAAATTCATGCTGGGCGCATGTGCGTGCGTGCCCAAGATCCCGAGAGGAGAATGGAGGAGAAGGGATTGCGGCATGGCCATCCCCCTTGGGGGGTGATTTCTCGCTTTCTATCTCTCTGTCTCTCTCTGTCCTTCTGGCGAGCGCACACGCCCTGTAGCAAAAAACCTCTCCAAAAAAAAAAGAAAAACATTTTCTGAAAGATCTTGGATTTAATCATGAAATATTGATTCATTATTTTTAAGTTCAAGAACAAGACAAGGGGGACCAGCAGTTAGGATAAGGGCTATGTCGCTGGACTCCTATGTAGTCAACCGTGGTTCGAGTCCTGGACCCGGTGATTTAAACTCACGCCGGGCACGTGTGCGTGTCCCTGGGGGGGTGATTTCTCACTTTCTGTCTCTCTGTCTCTCTCTATCTCTCTGGTGAGCGCACATGTCCTAGAGCAAAAAATCCTCTCCCCCCCCCAAAAAAAAGAACAAGACAAGGACTCTCCTAACCTCCACTATTTAAGAATCATTAGCAAGAATTTGTACTTTAGAAACTAACCATTTTCATAAAATAGAAACCCACTCTCTCAATCCTTATGGCAACAAATAAATGTCTCAATATGTCTCAATGTTAGAGACTTAAAGTTAATGCTACAGAGATTGCAGAAAACAGGGATGCAAACTTTCCCCTACCCCAATTCACCTGTAAATATCCTAAAGACTCAAAGGTTGAGAGTCAAGTCAGCACATAAAACTCTCTTGGTACTTCCTTAACAACAGCTCATTCTGAGTAGTAAAATAAAAACAAAATTTTTGTGTAGAACCAAAGATTTTGCAGAATCTAATGTCAGGTCTTTCAAGGTGTACGAAACACATAGTAACCTTAAGCTGTGCATACTCAGGAACTATAATCAGGCAACTTCTGTTACTTGTCATAATGCTAATAGAGAGAAGAGAAAGTGAGCCAGCCAGTACACGGTTAAGGCAGCTGGATCCCACATTGCCAACTGCATGGTTTGAGTCCTGGACCTAGGTTTGGAAAACATGTTTGGCACATGTTTGTGCATGTCCAAAATCCCAAAAGGAGGGAGAAAAGGAGAAGAAACTGCAGCATGACCATCCCCCATGGGGAGTGATTTCTCATTTTCCTTCTCTTTTTCTGTCTCTTCCTAGCCAGCACACGAGCCCTCTAGCAAACAAAGAAGAAAAAGCTAATTTCTGAGAGTTCCAGGAATTAATCCTACATATCTGTAGGCAGTGACTGAACACTTTCAAAGGTAGAATGGCTGTGGAAAACAAAGAAAGAAATGCTGGAAAATTTCTTAAGGGCTGCAAAAATGTTTCTGGGGTCAAATATTCTATCTGACACTGAGTTGGATAGCATAGTAGCCTAATTTCTGACCAATGTGGTGTTAATATCTACTGAAGACCCATGATTACACAGTTCTAATTTTATGACAAAATAAAAAAAGGTAAGAGTCCTACTCTAACCTTCACAAGAGCAGAGCTCCTAGAGCCGTACGACACATTCAGCATCATCTACTCTAACATGAAAGTGTAAATCTGAAAATCTCTCAGAAAGCTAACTGCTTTGCCCAATATCATAAGTGAGCATTAATGAAATACATTTTCCTCAAAGCAAATGCCATCTATTTAATCTACTCTCATTTAGCACTCAATCTGAGAAAAAAATAATAGCACACATTTTATCATTAGCAAGGTTTTAAGAAAACGTCCTAAACAAACAACAAGGGCTTATTTTATTTGTTGTTAGCTTGCTATAGGTGCCATAACAAAATACCACAGACCAGGGAGCTTCGATGACAAATTTTTATTTTCTCACAGTTCTGACAGCAAGAAGTGCAAGCTCAAGGTATCTGCAGGTTTTGTTTCTCCTGAGGCTTCTCTCCTGACCTTCTTCCTGCGTCCTCACATGACCTTTTGTCTAAGTCAGTGTATCCTTAGTGACTCTCCCTCTTCCTCTTCGAATGAGGGCACGAGTCATACTGGATTAGGGTACCAGCCTCACAACCTCACTTTAACTGCATCACTTCTTTAAAAGCCTTATCTTCACATATTACATTCTGAAGTTCTTCAACATAGGAATTTTTGAGGAACACAGTTCAGTTCATAATGAGATATATGTTTATTTATGGATGGAAAACAATATTTCAATTTCAGTGTAGAAAGGAAGGGAGGGAGAAGAAGAAAGGAGAGGAAGTTATAGATATTTTTCTAGGAATTGAACTTGTTACCTTATGAGTTAAACCATGGATTATAATAAGAATTCACAAGCTTTTTTAGGCATCACATTCATTTAGGACCACGTTTTTTGTTTTTTTTGTTTGTTTGTTTTTTGGGTTTTTTTTTTTTTTTTTTTTTTTTTTTTTTTTTTTTTTTTTTTTTTTTTTGTTTTTTTTTTTGCTTTTTGCTTTTTGCTTTTTGCTTTGCTTCAAGAAACTTGAGAGATACAAATCATGTGTTGAATTGAATCAAGTAAAATTTAATGGAAAATTACACTCAAAGTTTCCTGACTAGTCCTGTGTGGGTTATGTTCTCATGCATTTTTCATCATCGGGAAACAGCCTGTGAATGTCACACTTTACCATCACCCTCCTGAGCCCAAGTTTTAAATAGAACTTTAAAAACCTATATTAAACTTCAGTAGAAAATGATCTTCAATGGGGAAAATATTGTGTTCACAGTTCCACTCTAAATTATTTAAAATCAGAACGAGAGGTCTGTGTGTTTGCTTTTGTGCTCCTTTAAGAATGAATCCCATCTAAGTTAAAGAAAAAACGTAGCAGGAGAAAACTACCTCTTTGCTCCTATTAGGAGATAAATTGCTAATGTGCACTTACAGCAAGTACGAGACACGACAAAATTGGCCAGAGAAAGGAAACCAATATTTTCTCTTCCTAGAAAGGCACAAATAATTTTCTAAATGATATATTTCACTCTTCATAAACTGATTTGTGTAATAGAGACTGTGTCATTGTTTAAAAACACAGACCTACGCTTACTACATGAAACTGAATTGGAGAAATTAGAAAAAATAATCTTTTTGTAAAAGACTTCATTTATTCATAAGAAAAACCAAGCAAGAGAAGATGCTAATAGTACAAGTAGTCTATTTATCTAAGTAGGTGAGGGGATGCATTAACTGCCATGGTTAAAGTATAACCTATTAACACTGCAGTGGCAGAAAATTAATATTTTGCCACAATTGGTGGTAAAACAATCAATGTTATTTGCCCTGTGATACCAATATATAGACATTGGAAATACAGTGCAATTTACAGATCAATCATACTGGCTCTACAAGAAGAATGAAAAGTATGTCATTCCTCTCAAAAATTGTTCTAATCTATAGAAAAATGGACCTATGGAATAGACCCATGTCTAAGAGATATTCTAAGCTTTGAATTAGATTCTTATAAAATCATCCTACTATTCCAGTAGGCAGAAATATAATCATTATGCATACAAAAAAGGAAATGCCAAGACTCTAAATAGAGGCCAATAATCAAATCCTTTCCTATCCAATGAGCAAAACAGAATAATCCAAAAGAAGTCCTATTTTGTTTGATAATTAAAGTTCAGGACTTTTGTTTGCCTTTTTTTTTTTTCTTGTCAACTTTATTAAGTCATCACATTTAAATAAAGATGCTGGATCAAACTGAAATATAGTCAACTCTAAACATTTAC